ACAACAGGGAGAATTCCCTGACTTTTCTTCCATTACTGCCAAGGGATGGTTTCTACCCACTTGATAGGGCAGACAAGGCTTTGGTTAAAGTCCCATCTGAAAGACAGCAGCTACAAGTGTGCACTGCAGTGTTCCCTAAAAGTCAGGCTAGATTGGCTGTGTATAAAACACACATATCCAGACTCAGAGGTGACAGGAGCCCCATCAACACTTCCATCTCAACTCAACAAGTCAGGGTCAACACACTCAGAGAAAATAACCTGAGCACCTCGTCAGCAGGAGAAATACTTTAAACAAACAGCTCACAAGAATGAATGGAATAACTGGAATTGTTGGAGACTGAAAATAGATCAAAGATAAAGATGACTAGGAAGAGGTTAGTGGGCTGCAAGGATGGGGAGGGAGGGGTGAGCAGTGGGTGAGAGGGGCAGGAAGTGATGGTGGAGGTGACAGACAGTGCGGTTCCCTGGCCAGAGGAGATAAAAGCCCAAGGTCTTCAGGGTAGCATGGGAGCACAGTGGTTAGCACTCCTCACAACACCAGGGACCCGGGTTTGATTCCAGCCTCGGCTGACTGTCTGTGTGGAGTTTGCACATTCTCCCCGTGTCTGCGTGGGTTTCCTCCTACAGTCCAAAGACGTGCAGTTTAGGTGGATTGGCCATGGGAAATGTAGGGTTACAGGGATAGGGTAGGGGAGTGGGTTAGGTGGATGCTCTTCAGAGGGGCAGTGTGGACTAGATGGGCAGAATGGCCTGCTTCCACACAGTAAAGATTCTGTGAAGGTAAGCCATGACATTTGAATGTGTGGCTCTCCGTGGTGAGACAGCCTCTCAATTTCTATTTATTGGAAATAGTACCCACTGCCATATTCTGATTAATGACATTCTACTGATGTTAATCCAGCTCCCTCACACTGTCACTCAGTAACCCCTCTCGCCCAGAGCCCCGTGTTACTGACTGTATCCGTACTGATGTTAATCCAGCTCCCTCACACTGTCACTCAGTAACCCCT